AACAACAGGGCCCAGAGCCCCTTGATAAGAACATCAGAAGAGTCCTGCTGGATCAGACTAGCGGTCCATCTAGTGCAGCATCCTGTCTCACACAGTGGCCAACCAGTTCCTCTGGAGGGCCAAGCACAGGGCATAGAGGCTGAGGCCTTTGTAAGAACATAGGAAGAGCCCTGCTGGATCAGACCAATAGTCCATCTAGTCCAGCATCCTGTCTCACACAGTGGCCAACCAGTTCCTCTGGAGGGCCAACAACAGGGCATAGAGGCTAAGACCTTCCCCTGATGTTGCTTCCTGGCTCTGGGATTCAGAGTACCTCTGAATGTGGAGGGTCCTATTGGTCACCAGGGCTCCAAGTAATACATGATGATACTGTTCCTTGGCTCATAACAAGGAATCTCTATCTCCAGGTGGGGGCTTGGAGTTGTCCTGGAATTACAGCTAATCTCCACACTATGGAGATCCGTTTCCCCTAGAGTAAGTGACAGCTTTGGAGGGTGAATGGGCTCTATGGCAGCACATCTCTGCTGATCTCCCACCCCTCTCCAACTGCTGCCCTCCACAGGCTCCACGCCCAAATCTCCAGGAAGTTCCCAACCCAAAGCTGGCAGCCCTAGAATGTGGTTGGGCAGACTGGGTGGGAGCAGAGGGTGGGTATTGCTAGCAGTATCTGTACCCATTTGGCCTTTTCAACTCTGTGAAAGCTCAAGCCCTTCTAAACACTTCTAAGGGACAATTCACACAACCAACGGGTACGTTACATACACAGTGATAGTCACTCCATTGTGTGCCAGTTCCCTGCCCGGGACTACTGTCACGTGCAGGTTAGTTGCATGGGACTGAGACGTTTTCCCAGCATGGGTTCTGCTAGGCTTGCAGAAATGCCCCCCCCCCACACACACACCTTCAGTTTCTACTACAGAGATTCTCTGGGACTTTGATTCTGTTCTGCTGGGCTTCTATCCAGGCCCGTAGCCAGGATTTTGTAATTGGGGGGGGGGGGCTTTAAATAAGTCGGGAGGCACTGACATCACAAAATAAAAAATAAAATGTTTCAAAACTCACTTTTCCAGCATTCACACTCTGCCTGCCTACGCAGGGAAGCAAGCCACACCTGGGGAAGAGGCGGCAGTGGGGAGTCCTCCAGGTGCTCCAGAGAGTTGGGAGTCGGGGGACCTGGGGGCTGGATGGAAGTCTGGGGGCCTTGGAAGGAAGTCAGGGGGGCAGGCCCCCAAATGCCCCACTGTAGCGACGGGCCTGCTTCTATCGCCCTTGCCTTTGTTGCTGTTTTTACCCCCTCCATTGGAAGCGATGGAGGATTGGGGCACCTTCTTTGGGGGCCCATAGAATTAGACTTCCTGGTCCAATCTTTTTGACATTTGGGAGTCCTTCTGAGAAGAGGCCCCAGCAGCTATTCTGCAAATTTGGTGCCTTTCCCTCAAAACACAGCCCCACCCAAAAAAGACCCCCAGATAGATTCCCCATTGACTATAATGGTCCCCATAGGGTATAATGGAGCTGAAAAAATTCAGGATGCCCGAAAAAAATCCCAAATAAAAATAACATACTGGTATTGGAATTTGAGCATATTGGGAATACTGATATTTTCAGGTCCAATATACCCAAATCCGAAAAATATCTGTGCTCTTCTGCGGTCTTGTCTCACAGAGGGGACAGTCTGGTCTGAGGTGAAAGATCCCTCACTTGGGACGGAGTGGGTACAGGCAGGAGGCCTGGTATAAGAGGCTGTAGGCCTTAAGTAGTAACCAGTTAAGTGAACTAGGTAGTCACGTTAGAGTTTATTATTTTGCCTCTAAACACTGTTATATATTTTAAAGCACCTTGTCTTGTTTTCCTTGCCCCAGTACTGTGTTAATAAACCGTTTGTTTAAGTTTTCTCTGCCTGGTCACCATGCCTATGTTCTCGGCTTAAAAGGGGGCATTTTTGGATGGGCTTGGGAGGGTACTCTCAAGGGACCGGAAGTCCAGAGTGGTTAGGGCTCCCAAATCTCGCCAAATCGTGGCGGGGGATCCGCATGTCTTTGCAGAATCCGTGCCGCGGGGACAGCGAGACACATTGCACCGCCGGCGCCAGGACATGACGCTACGCGTCGCTCTGGCAACGGGGCTGTTTGGAGCCCCGTTGCCAGAGCGATGTGTAGCGTCATGTCTTGGCGACGGCGGGTGCAATGCGTCTCGCCATCCCTGCAGCACAGATTCTGCAAAGACACACGATCCCCCGCCGCGACTTGGCAACCCTAAGAGTGGTAGCAGCTGGAGGTCACAACCCGCTGGGGTCATGACACACCGACTCTGCAAGAATATGGAAGAGGTGAAGGAAACAGTGGGCAGGCAAAGCCATTTCCACTAATCTTGCTCCTCTGCATAGAACAGTGTCCCTGCATGTAAATATTAAGCCGCCACGCCTTTTCCGATCTTCCTACCAGGGAAAGGAGCAAAATTTCACCTGCTGGATTTCTGCACAGCTGGCTGCTGTTTAAAGGCACAGGAGTAAAATCAGACTGGGAGGGGAGGAAATTTGTTGGCAAAGCCTAAAACCAAAGCTGAATCCCACCAAGCTTCAAAACCACAAGGTTTAAGGGAAATTGCTCAACAGTTAAGACACAAGAGCTGCAATTCTTTGTGGTCTTTCATTCATTACAGAACTTGTTGGTTTGGTTTCGTTTAAAAACTGTTTAACCAAAGGAACATCTGGTTTACTGTCTGTTAGCTTAGGCGTTCCCAACCAGCCTTTCCGCTAAAAACTGACCCTCCTCAACGAAGCTATGAAATGGGTAAAGAAGCTGATGACTGAGCTCTGTAGTCTGGAGGCAAACTGTAATTCCAGGGTATCTCCAGGCCCCACCTGGCAATTGGCATCCTAATGGACCTGATTGCTGTTTGGAGGAAAAATCACAGGGTGTCCACCAGAAGCCCCTCTGAGCTTTCTTAAAAGGAAGAAATCAAATAAATAAATCTTTTTTAAAAAGAAAGATTAGGGAGAGTTCAGCACGTCTCAAGATTGTCACCAGGTTCAGCCTGAAGCAGATTAGGAGATTCGTCCTAAGCAAACGCATCTGAGGAATTCTGAGGAAAGCCAAATGAGATTCTATGAGACGTAACTTGAGACGTAAAGGATGCACATCTCCATTGTAGTGGATCAACTTGAAATTATTTATTTACTTTCTTTATATCCCACCTTTCACCTCCCCCCCACGGGGGCCCAAGGCAACTTCCATCATTCCCCTCTCCTCCATTTTATCCTCTCAACGACCCTGTGAGGTAGGCTAGGCTGAGAGAGTGTGTGACTGGCCCAAAATTCTATGGTCAGCTTCTAGGTTGCCAGGTCTGGTTTGGAAAATACCTGGAGACTTTGGGGGTGGATCCGGGAGAGGGGGTGGTTTGGGGAGGGGAGGGGCCTCAGCATGGCACAATGCCAGACAGTCCACCCTTCAATACAGCCACTTTCTCCAGGGGAGCTGATCTTTGTCAGCTGGAGCCGTTGCAAAAGCGGGAGGTCTCCTGGCCCCCACCTGGAGGCTGGCAACCATACCAGCTTCTATGGTCTGAGTGGGGACTTGAAGCTGGATTGCCGTATCCTAGTCCAAGAATTTAACCACCACACCACACAGGCAACATGTTTGTGTGTGTGTGTGTGCCAATGAAATGGGGTGTGAATGTATAATTTTAACATGAAAAGTGGTGCAGGTGTGAAGGGAACTGACCTCCCCTTAATTTCTCTCTCAGCCTACCACTTACATGCCCCTTTTGCCTCAGACTAGAATTTGGGATGCCGGGCCCCCTGGTGTGGGTAGGGGTCCCCCAGTTTTGGGTGCTCCTTTCTGCCCACTCGATAACCCCCCACCCCGAACAGGCAAGAAGCCAGATATAAACGGAACAGGTGTACATGACCCAGAAATGATGTAGGCATGTCGGTGATGTTGGGGGGGAGGCGATGCTCTGGTTTTGGGGCAAAACTCTGAGGAATTTCAGACAGACGATATATTCCGGAAGAGGAACGGTTCCCAAATGGTTTCTGGTCTGTCATTTCAGACAGAACCGTTTTAGAACCGGTTCCTTACCGGAATATATTTGTAATTTCAGACACAAACGCTTCTGTCCCATTTAGGAAACGGGGCTGAAGCGTTTTACCTGTCAACCACTTCCAAGTAGTCTCCAGTTTCCTCTCCCGGTTCCGATGCGCTTTTTCCCGCCGTTTTTCACCCGCGCGGGTGATCTCCAGCTTTTTTTTTTTTTTAACATTCGCTATAATGGAACAGCATTATATCAACCCCATTAGAATGCCTGTTTTGTTATAGTGCTATAGCGCTATAACGCTATAAAGCGAACGTTGGTTTTTTTTTAAGCCGGAGATCGCCCACATGGGCGAAATATGGTGGGGGGGGGGGAAGCTAGAAAAAGCGGTGCAGTCTGAAATGGCAAACCGCTTCAGATCCAGCTCTTTACCAGAAGGGGAAAGCCATGTGTGAAATGGCAGCCCTATACCGGTTTACTCCACGATGGATCAAAAATGGCTTCAAAACGGGTTAAAAAGGGTAATGTGAAATTCCTCTCTATGGCAGAATTAGCTTCTGCCACAGAATTGTGCCCCCAAACCAGAGCGTTGCTCCCCGACATCCCCAACAACACTACATCACTTCTGGGTCACGTAGGTACATCGCATTTATTTATAGAATCATAGAATCATACAGTTTGGGAGGGACCTCCAGGGTCATCTAGTCCAAACCTCGGCACAATGCAGGAAATTCACAAACACCCACAGTGACCGCTGTTCCATGCCCAGAAACGTTCCTCTCCACTCCCGGTAAATTCACCTCCCATCCCCTGCTGACAGGTCTGAGGGGCCTGGCTACCCTCACAAGAATACAAGTGTCATAGATTCAGCTCCCCATTTCCTCTAAAACTGAATTCCCCACCACAGTAAGGCAGAGGCCTGTACAACTGCATCTAGTGTGCCCCTCAAAACTCAAGTGCCTCCTGACCTTGTAGTCGTGAGCTGCTTCCTCAATGGGCAGGACCGTGTGTGAACGATGCTCTCGGGATTTGTCACACACCAGGCAAATGGGCTCCCCGTCGTCCTGACAGAAAAGGCGCAACTTCTTGCCATGCCTCTCACACAAGGCCTCACCAGGGCTTCGGCCTGGTGGCCGCAGAGCCAGCCGCTCGATGCCCTCCACAATGTTGGCCAGCTGTTTGTTGGAACGTGAGCTGCTCAGAAGGAAGCCGGCCCGGCACTGTGGACAAAGAGCCACACCGGTCGCCGAACCGGCTCCCTGCTCGCAGTAGTTGGAGATGCAGGCCCAGCAGAAGTTGTGGCCGCAATCGATGGTCACCGGTTCCCTCAGGTACTCCAGGCAGATGGAACAAGACACCTCGTCCTGAAGCCGCTCCACAGGGTCGTCCCTCAAAGAGGCCATGCTCGCTACAGACTTCTCCAATTCTCTTGACAGAACGAACAACACTCTCCTTTTCTGAGCGGCGCCAGCACATTACAACATGTCGGGAGTGGCTACAGGAGGGAGGGAGCAGCTCTGGGCAGTGGTGGTTTCCTTTTTGGAAGCCCTCCATGGGTTTTTGCTGTTGGAAGTTTCCATTCCGAGCATAGACAAAAACACACGGAGGGCCGGCTTTTTCTTTCAAGGAAACCGCCTCGGAAGGGAGGGGAGAAAACAAAACTGGGAACTGGGCCAACAGACGAGGTCACGACTCTTGCAAACAAGTCAAACGGGTTCCTGTGGAGAATGGCAAGTGGAGCCTGGCTTTTGAGCACGCTGGGTGCATTGTACACTGGGTGTAGGCAGTTTTCAAAGGCTGGGTTGCCAGCCTTCAGTTGGGGCCTGCTAGGGTTGCCAGTCTCCAGGAGGTGGCTGGAGATCTCCTGAAATTACAACTGGTCTCCAGGTTACAGAGATGAAGCGAAGAAGAGAGAAGAGATTGGATTTATACCCCGCCCTTCACTACCTGAAGGAGTCTCAGAGCAGCTTACAATCTCCGTTCCCTCCCCCTCCCCACAACAGACACCCTGTGAGGCAGGTGGGGCTGAGAGAGCTCTTTTGAGGACTACTTCTGAAAGAACAGCTGTGAAACAACTTGTAACTGACCCAAGGTCACACCAGCAGCCGCATGCGGAGGAGTGGGGAATCAAACCCGGTTCTCCCAGATCCACTCCCGTCCATGCTCCTAACCACTAGACCAAACTGGCTCTCAATCAGATCAGTTCCCCTGGAGAAAATGGCTGCTTTGGAAGGTGGAACAACATCACCTTTTGTGTATTCAAAGTGCTTGACAGACGTGATCTCCTGTAAACCATGCAACAGCCTGAGCCTCAGTCCCTATCCGCAGTATGGACATAACAGGACTGACCTGGGTGGAGCCAGGCTTAGGGACAGTGGCTGCCTTAAAGTCACCCTTCCAGCTCCCCGGGAGATTTTCAACTAGTCTTTCACTCTCAGCCTAGCCTACCTTACAAGGTTACTGTGAAGATGTCATAGGGAAAGTTGGAAAGAGCCATGTAGGCCACACTGAGCTTCTTGAAGGAAGGGCTGAAGGGAGGGAGGAATTGAATCCAGGCCAATCAGGAGAAGGAGGAGATGTAGCTTGCCTCCGCAGCCATTGACTTAATAAAAGGAAGGGTTAACTCATTTGCCAGGACCAAAAAGAATGGTGAACAGACATTATTGGGACTCGGAACCAAAAATGCCTTGCGTTACCTGACTTTGTTCGTGATAAATATGGGGGGGGCAGGGGTCATTTTGTAGAAAAAGAGGTGCAGGAACTCATTAGCATAACTTATTTGCATATGCCACATCCCCTGACATCACCGGAAGTGTGTCAGAAGACAACACCCACCGCTCAGGCTCCACTGGACTGTTGTGGATTGCTAGCTATGGGGGGACATGCAGATCTGCCCTCGCAGAGGAGGGAGAGCTTGTACCTGAATAAAACCTGGTCTTAAAGGTGCCACTGGACTGTTTTGGACTGGTGGAGTTCTGCAGCTTACCTGGCTGCTTCTTGCTCTGACTGAGGGCTGCTGGGAGCAGGGGGTGGGGCTTGTTGCATGTGCCCGCCCCCTGGGCTCTTCACTGCTGGAGCTCCGCTCCTGTGCGCTCCTGCAGG